TGAACTCCTTTGGGCCTGGCTTTCCTGTTTCATGCCCAAAGCCTAGTGCAGTTCCAGAGGCATCTCTCATGGTAGCAGTACTATTTAATATCTTCGTTAATGACCTGAACATTAATGCACTCCCAGCAAGTTTATGAACAACACCAAATTGGAAGCAGTAGGTGTGTGGTCAGTGCAATGAAGGCCTGACAGGAACTGTGTGACACTCAATAAAAAGAAGTCTGGAAAGGATGGAGTAGAAGTTAAGTATACTTGGAGAAGGCAGAATGTAAGGTTACTGGTCATTGCCCATCTCCATGTGAGTTGGGTGAACGTTTCTGTCTTACAGAGCAGAAGCCTTCTCCTGAAGAACAGGTGATGGATGAACTGCCAGCATTTAACATCAGTTGGGACTGGGCGATTTCACCACTGGCATCAAGACTGTGTGACTTCTCTGGGCTCAGGGCACTGGTGGCACTCCAGAAAGCAAATGGCTCCTGGGCTCTCAGCACAGCCCTGGCCTCTGTCTTGGGGCTCAGCAAAGCTGATACTGAGGGACAGAGGCCCAGTGAGGTAAGGAGATCAGGAGCAGGAGGGGGACACTCATGAGCTGAACTTTCCTGTTCCAACCAAGTTTCTAGTCTGAGCTGAACTGAGAGGAAGAGATTGAGGCAGTGGGGTTTATCCTCTCTGCTTGTGGAAGAAGTACATGGAGGGTGTGGGGTGAAATCAGCAGAGGTACCAGGGAGCTTTGTGATGTTGAGAATTTCAGAAGCTTAAAGAGTTTGTACGTGTGGAAGTCTTGTTTTTACTACATGATGGTCTAGATCTGATTTTTCTAATTTTTTTCTCCTTGAGTGTTCTGTTTTCCATCACAGGATGTGGAGCCAGCTGTCTGGGCCACAGTTTTGGCCTTAGTCTGGCTGCACAAGTATAAATGGAAGGTACCTTGGTCAGAGCTTCTGGAGGCCAAAGCATGCAGGTGGCTGCAGGACCAAGCTGGTAAGAAGATTTTGCTGTGAGGACTCACACTCTGGACCTTTCCCACTAAATCCGCAGCTGACACCCACTGATTCATATTCCTCTTTCCCAGTGCTCCTGTGCTGCAGTCTGTGAGACTGTTGATACACAATGAATTCCCTTACTGATTTGTAGTCCCTCTCTGCATTTTCTCTCCTTTTGCAGAAGTCCAACTGGATGAATGTCTGGAGGCAGCAAATTCCCTGCTGGGCTGCTTTGTGGAGCCCACTGTCTTCAGGATGTGCACTTACCTCACTGCTGGGGGTGGGAAAGAATCTGGGTGGGAACACACCCAGGAAAGCTGACCCAGACTAGTCAGAAGGACATATCACATGCCATTAACATCACACCCTTGTGGGATGGAGCAAGAGAGTGGCTGCGGGGGGTGCTTAGCTGCTGTCCACAGCCAACTCACCAAAGCTGGCTGGTTCACACATTTGTTCTCTACCACAATCACTGTGTTCTGAAAAATAATGCTAAACACAAATACTAAAATTTGCTTCATTTCCATATTCTGCATTTCTCTGAGATTTACTCAGTCATAGGTTCAAAATAACAGACTGCAGGGAGAAAAATCCTGTTAAGATAATACAGGAAAACACCTTCATGTATCTGTCTGTCTGTCTCCCTCCTCCCTTCCTGTGTGCCTTTCTGGCTTTTCATAGAAAGGTAAGAATAATGTTATTTGCTAGAGGAATTTTTTTTCTTTTTCTTTCTTCTTTTTTTTTTTATTCTCCCCTCCCCCCCAAAAAGGGTTTGTCAAATAAAGGGGTGGATTTCATTGGACCAGTGCAGTGCTTACCATAGGTGCCCAGTGCTATTTCAGCTGTCTTGAGGTATCTGAAACACCTGCCAGGTTGGAGGCAGGATAGAAAGGACTGGTTTTCTGAGGGGACAGCTGGGGAGTGAATGAATCCCAATGAACCCATTGTGGAATGGGATTTGGTTACCTATATATTGAAGTCCAGTGCCATTTATGATGTTCTAGGACTTTCAAGTGTATTAGTTTACTTGGCAAGGATTTGGTGGTGGGGAGGCTGCAGCAGTGACCTCTGTGGGATTCCCCTGTGTGGGATTGCCCCATTGCCAATCACAGGCGGTTCCAAACCAGACCCACTTGCAGAGGCAGCCAGCAAAGCTGGTGACCTCCCTGTAAAATCATGTAAGAAAAGGCAAATAATGCAGACAGAAGAGAGGGAAGAGTGAGAACAGCAATACAAACACCACAGTAAGAGAGGGAGGAGGAGGAGGCATTTCCCTACAGCCCCTGATGGAGCAGAGATTGATGCTGCAGCCCGTGGAGGACACTGCTGGACCAGATGGAGATTTGCTAAAGGAATTGCAACCCATGGAGAGGACCTGTGCTGGAGCAAAAGAAGTGTGAAGGTGACAAAGGTCCAGAAGGAAATTGCTGTGTATTGATCAGAGGCCCCAGTCAGCCATCTCCCTATACAGATGGCAGGGGTGGGGAACAAAGGAAATCAGTAGAGAAGTGAAGCTGAGCCTGGGAATAAGGGACACGGGGGAAGGGTGTCTCAGTTTTTGCTTTTGTTTCTCACCATCCTACTTTATTTTTAATTGTCAGTAAATGCTACCAGTCTTCCCCAATCTGAGTTTGCTTTGCCTGTGACAGTAATTGCTAAGCAAACATCATATCTTTTTCTTACCTCATAACCTTTTTCCTTTATTTTTATTTTTCTCCATGTCCTGTTGAAGAAAATAAGTGAGAGAGCAGCTATGTAGGTGCCTGGCAGCTAGCCAAGGTCAAACCCTAAAAAAATTCACCATATTTTAACAATGGTTACACTTTTATATCTAGACTTTTCATTTAGATATTTTGTGCAGTTCTATCTCACACTCCATGCACAAAGATGATAAATAGGCGTTTCTTCTCATGGGGTTGTTGGATCTGAAAGCAAAAAGAGTATTCAGTGTTTAGAATCTTACACCAAACTTTTGGGATTTCTGACAAATGACAATTAATCAGCTGCTCAAAATCAGGACACAGTGATTCCATTCTGTGAGGGTTTGGGGCTGAGGCCGGGAGGAAATGGAAAACAGTGATAATTTACTTTTATATAGAACAAGTGCAATTATACAGGTAGTTTACAGTACAAAGTACATAATGAGAACAAACATTTATTTGGCTTTAAAGTGATGATAATAAAGATGCACATCTTGCACTCTTACCATCATAGTATGTGATGGACCTGATGTAATAAAGCAAAAACTCCAGTGGAGACATATCTAAATGGACACCACCAAAACCCCTCTCTGTGTTTCTCCTCATATTTTCAAATCACGACCTGTTGGCAGTTTCTGGAAGTTCAATACTGAGCCCAGTATTGTTTAATTTATTTATCACTGGTTTGGATGAAGGGGCAGATGCCTCCCCAGCAAGTTTACTGATGATTCAAAACTGGGAGGAGTGGCCAGTACCCCGGAGGACTGTGCAGCCCTTCAGAGGGACCTCAACAGGCTGGAGAGATGGGCAGAGAGGAACCTTCTGAGGGCAAATGCAGGGTCCTGCACCTGCGAGGGAACAATCCCAGGCACCAGCATAGGCTGGGGGTGACCTGTTGCAAAGCAGCATTTTGGGGAAGGACTTGGGGGCTGCCTGTGAACCAGCCGAGTACCCTGGGGGCCAAGGAGCCCAATGAGGTCCTGGGTGCATTAGGAAGAGCATTGCCAGCAGGTCAAGGAGGTGATCCTGTCCCTCTACTCAGCCCTAGTGAGGCACAACTGGAGTGTTGTGTCCAGTTCTGGGCTCCTGAGCACAAGAGAGACGAGTGGGTCCTGGAGGCTGCAGAGATGGTCAAGGGACTGGAGCATCTTGGTTGTGAGGGCAGGCTGAGGGAGCTGGGCCTGCTCAGCCTCGAGAGAGATGACTGAGAGGGGACCTCAGCAACATCTGTCAGTGTCTGAAGGGAGGAGGGACCAGGCTCTGCTTGGGATGCTGAGCAATAGGACAAAAGGCAATGGGCAGAAACCGATGCCTAGGAAGTTGCACCTGAATATGAGGAACTTCCTTACTGTGCAGGTGACTGAACACTGGAACAAATTTCCCAGAGAGGTTGTGGAGTCTCCCTCCCCAGAGATATTTCAGAACCATCTGGACACATTCCTATGCCATGTTCTCTGGGATGACCCTGCTTGAGCAGGGAGGTGGGACCAGGTGACCCACTGTGGTCCCTTCCAGCCTGACCCATCCTGGGATCTTGTCATTCCATGATTCTCACACATACACACACATTCAGATGTGTCCCTTTTATAACAGAGCCCAATTATAAATTATATTCTCTAAGCATATATAAAGCAGAGGGAAGGTGAGATAGAGAAGAAGGCAGGCAGGCACAAAGGGTTTGTGAGCATTACCCTGGATTTGTTCCATTCCATTCCACTCCACATACCATTCTGTGAAAGCTGCTCCCATCAGTGGGCCAAAATTGCCTGTATAATGAAATCTTTACAAAATATTCCTCAAAAAATAGGTCAATATTTTCCTCTTATTCCAGTGATATAAAATGTTTGTTATTGGAATATTAATCACTGAATCATGGAATCATTTTGTTTGGAAAAGACCTCTGAGATCATCGAGTCCAACCTTTGACAAATCTAGCTGCCTTGTCAACTAGACCATGGCAGTAAGTGCCACATCCATTCATTTCTTGAACACCTCTAGGGATGGTGACTCTACCTCTTCCCTGGGGAGCCCCTTCCAATGCCTGACCACCCCTTCTATGAAGAAATTCCTACTAATGTCCAACCTGAACCTCCCCTGGTGCAACTTAAGGCTATTTCCTCACATTCTATTTCTTGTTGCCTGGGAGAATAGACAGACCCCCACCTTGCTACAACCTCATGTGTTTGTATAGAGGGATAAGGTCTCCTTTGAACCTACTTTTCTCTAGGCTGGACAACCCCAGCTCCCTCAGGTGCTCCTCAGAGGACCTACCCTCTAGAGCCTTTGCTTATGAAGTGCTCATTTCCTAATAAAAACCCTATTTATTTCTGTATAATAATCTGCAGCCAGTTAATTTTTGCATAGCAGCTTTGGTGTCATTGTTCCTCACGGTGTAGATGACTGGATTTATGACTGGTGGCAACACAGAATAGCAAAGAGAAACTGTGAGATCCAGAGCTGATGGGGAGTTAGAGACAGGCTTAGGAGAGGTGAAAGAACCAGTGCTAGCAAACACAGCGACCACAATGAGATGGGGGATGCAGACTGAAAATGCTTTATGCTGCTTTTCCTTTACAGGAATTCTCAAAAGCACAGTGAAAATCTGATTATAAGACATAAAAACAAAACAGAGGACAACTAAAAGAAAACTAAATGTAAGAACCCCAAGTTCACTAAAATATGAATGAGAACAGGAGAGCTTGAGAAGCTGTGGAACTTCACAAAAGAACTGTTCAATAATGTTGGACTTGCAGAAGGTTAAAGAAAAGATGTTCCCAGTGTGGAGAGCAGAGTAAGGGACATAGCTGAGCCATGCACTGGCTGCTAGGAGGATGCAAGTGCTCCCCTTCATGATGGTCTTGTAGTAAAGAGGTCTGCAGATGGCAATATAACCATCATATGCCATTACAGTCAGTAAAGCAAGTTCAGCAGCACAAAAAACATGGAAGAAAAAGACTTTGGAGACACAGGAGACACACAGGAGATCGATGTGGTCTTCCATAGAAAATTGGCCATGGACTTTGGGAGGGTGACAGAGATGGTTGAAAAGTCTAGGATGGACAAATTCAGCAAGAAAAAGTACATGGGGGTGTGAAGGTGATTACTGGCAACTATAACCACAATAATGAGAAAGTCTCCCATCATGGCAGCCTGGTAAATCCCCAGAAATAACAAAAAGTGGGATATCTGCAGTTCTTGAGTATCAGAGAATCCCAGGAGAAGGAGCTTGGCCACAGTGCTTTGGTTAAACATTTTCTTTCCATTGTGTTGGTGAAAGCTGTGAAGAGAAAGTCAGGGATTTTGGTTGAGACTTGAAGGTCTGCTCTGTAGTCTCTCCACCACCTGAATTTCACAGTTGCCCTAAATATGTTTTGCTCACTGAAGACAAAGTTCACAAATCCCACAGGATGGACCAAAGTGTCAGAAACAAATCCTCCAGTAATCACATACACAAAATACACATGTATGCACATATATACTGTGCTATATGTGTACACACATACATAATATATGTCTAGTCCACGTATGGTTTATATCTGTGTATTACATAGAAGTTTTATGTGCATCTCTCTCTTTATATATATATAAACACTGTTCAAATGTCTTATAATTATTTTATGTTCATGTTCATATTTATACATACATACCTATTTTATGCATGATGAGATCCCATAATCTCCATGATGAAAACCCAGCGTAGCAGATTTTTACCCCAGAAATATGTACAGCTGGAAACAGGGGTCCCAACACGTCTGCAGTGATGCAGCACGGACCTTTCAGCAATAATCTAAAACTACTCAGATAGCTCAAAATTCAAACTGAGACAACCCCATTTCATCTAGAGCACTTCCACAGAGAGTAGCACTGAAAAGGAGCACAACTTTCATGTATGCCATGGGTTACATCCACAAGCCCCATCACTGTATCCCAAACAGCAAGTACAGAGAATGTGGAAACTTATCCCTAGTGAGGTACAGTTGCTTTAAATCTGTATGTAGGTTTCTTAAGGTGTATGTTGATTTCTGACAGCAGAGGACTTACCTTAGTGGAGATGAATCCCAAGTTGCTTTCGTAGAATCAGAGAATCACACAACATCCTGAACTGGCAGAGAACCACAGAGGCCATTGAGTCCAACTTGTGCCCCTGCACAGGACACCCCAAGAATCCCACCATGGGCCTGAGAGTTTTGTTCAAATGCTTCCTGAACTTTGGAAGGTTGGGGCTGTGACCGCCACCCTGGGGAGCCTGTTCCAGTGTCTGACCACCTTCTGGATGAAGAACCTTTTCCTAGGATCTATCCTAACCCTTCCCAACACAGCTTCATGCCATTTCCTCTGGCCCTGCACTATGTGAAATTTCTCTTTGATTCTGCTGTGTCCACTGAGCTTGTGAACCTTATACACACACCAAAAATGGAAATAAGACTTTTAATACATGCATTCATGGACCAGAACAGATTTATTTCTTTACCAACACAGCCATAGTTATGATTAGTACTTCTCTCACTTCTTTATTCCTCAGGCTGTAAATCAGGGGGTTTAACATGGGAATTATGGTTGTGTATATGAGAGCGAGGACTTTCTTAATGTCTTGTGACTTACTGGAAGTTGGTAAATAATTCAAGGTCCCACATGCACAGTACAGTGTTACAACAATAAGGTGTGAGGAACAGGTGGAGAAGGTCTTGTGTCTGTTCTCTGCAGAGGAAATCTTCAGGATGCTGGAGATGATGCAGGCATAGGACACGACGATGAGGCAGAATGGCATGCAGATGACCAGCACTGTGGCTGTAGTGATCTGCTTTTCATACAGAGAGGTGTCAGTGCAGGAGAGCAGGATGAGCGGGGGAATGTCACAGAAGAAGTGGTCAATCTTCCTGGGCCCACAAAAGGGCAGTGTGAACACCCAAGCTGTCTGCACCACAGACACAACGTTACCACTGCAGCAAGACAGCAGGACCAAGGAAAGGCAAGTTCTTGGGTTCATGATGAGGGTGTATCTCAGGGGGTTGCATATGGCCATGTAACGGTCATAGGCCATGGCTGCCAAAAGGTACCATTCGGTGGCTCCTGAGAAAATCACACAGTAGAGCTGTGTGACACAGCCCACGTAGGAGATGCTCCTGTCCTCTGACAGGAAGCTTACCAGCATCTTGGGGACAACACTTGATGCTGCGGAAACATCCAGGAAGGACAGGACCCGGAGAAAGAAGTACATGGGTGTGCAGAGCGTGGGGTGCACTGTGACCATGCAGATGAGAAGGTTCCCAATGACAGTCTGCTTAGTAAACTAAGCAGAATGTGAAGAACAGCAAGTGCTGCAGTTCTGGGTGGCTGGACAATCCAGAAAGGACAAATTCAGTCAGCAGAGTGTGGTTTCCTGATTCTGTTTCCTCTGTTGACTCCATCTGGGAGGAATCAAGCAGACAGACTATCAGTGCTGTAGTCACATGATGGTGCTTCAGCCAGTTACTCAGTCTCTTGGGAATGGCTGGAGAGCTGCTGGATCAAAGGATGTAACTGTAGAACAGGCTGAGCTGAGCAAAGTAAGAAGGCAACAGCTGTGCTGAGAGTGTGCAGTGTCAGTGCCCTCCAAGTGTCATCGTTCGGGACAGTGACCAAGCCTTCAACCATGAGGAGTTGGCATTTAAGGGTTGGCTCCATTCTGGATGTAGGGTTAATTGCCAAGAATATGTGCTCCCAGCTGGTCCCACAGGCACTTTGTGCAGAGTTCCCGTCTGACAACTGGAACACCCAAAGATCTAAGAAAGAATAACCATTTTGCTCCGTAGGTAGCAGTGGGCATTGCTCCCTGAACTCTGCTGGCACCCAGCTTTTTCTACTGACAGGGAAGGATCTTCCTTCAAGACATCTGAAGTTACCTTTAGGGCAACTCAACTTCAGGTGAAAGACAGGGAAGCTCAGGCTGTGGGAGGCTTTGGCTCACATTCACATCACTCCCCAGCTGTCAGTGGGACAGAAAGACTTCAAAGAGTCCAGCTCTGGGGACAGCACCCCCAAATGGAGCAAGCAGAAGTTGTGAAGGGAAGACCTAAGTCAACTCCTGTCACTGGAGGAAAGCCCAGCTGACAACACCCACAGGCCAAAGAAGGCAGCACCAAAGTAAACCAAACCTAAATTCTGTCTGTAGGCAGGCAAAGGGAGAAGGAAAAAGTACAGGGAGAGGTGCCCACAGAGAATGGTAAGAAAGTACAGAGGGTGAAACTCAACACCATTCTCTTCATTAGTGACATTCCCCCATTCTCCTGAGCAGTTTTGCTGTGGGTGCAAGGCCAGGGGCAAATTCAGGTAGTGCTGGGCCAGCTGTGGCAGCTCGGTGTGCTCGCAGTGTCCAAGATGGGAAACTGATGCACTGAAAGAGAGAAGAAATTACCTGACCCAGGGGAGGAAGGGGTTGTTAGTTGTGTCCCCTTCAGACATGTCACCTCAACAGAGCTGGCACGTAGAGAGGGACACACAGGCAGAGCAAGGGCAGGGCACACAACCCTGCCATGACTCACTCACTCCTCGGACTGACTCCCTCTAGTTTCTCTTTTGCCTGTAACCTGCCCTCTTTTGTCTGTGGGTCTTTTGACATGGACACAAAGGTGCAAGCTGTGGATCCTGGAGCCACAGGCAGCTTGAACCTGCCATCATAATAAATGAACTCCTAAAATTCTCAGACAGTTAATGATCTGGTGTATTTAAAAAGAATCTTTCTGAGTTTGACTGATTCCATTAACACAGAAATGAAAGAAGACTCTTTTGAGTGGTATCCCAATATAGCCTGTGCATGACAGATAGAGAATGACTTTAAAAACTCCCTGCATTCCCCACTGGCACACATTCACACTGGTTTTCTTAACTTGTTAGATCCATGTGGCTGAAGTGGAAGCTTCTTAATTCTTCTCTTCAAATCCATATGAAAGTTTTAGGCTATTGCTTTGAGCATTAGTTCTTTATTCAAGTCAACATCACTCACAGCAGTCACTGTTTTACTGACAGGTTAGTTTTTATTTGCTAACGTAGAACACCTCTCAGACACAACTCTCAATTTGTGTAATTTGTGTCGTGGCTCTGAGGCCTTTTAAGTTTTGGCCTTAATTCTTCCTTGGATTTCCTTTGTACATTCACAATAAACAGTTTGAAGTAAAGTGTCCTACCTTCAGCAGTTCTGCCATCCAGTGCCTCCAATGTGTGTCATGCAAATTTTGATTCAAGTATTTTCCTTGTTTTCGTACATTAGGGACAGCGTTGGGCTGATGATTCCCACAGTCAGCTTATGATGCATGGTTTAAAGTTCTATTTAAGTGCAAATGATCTCCTGCCACAGCCTGGATAATCTGTTGACATTAATACATGATGTACTCCATAGAAAGTCAGCCAAAGCCTTGCCTCACAGAGAGGAAGCACAGAAATTTTTTAGATTTGTTTCAACTCACTCAGTTGAATTGGCTGCAGCTGAAAAGGCAGCAACCTCAATGCATCTCCTTTTTTCTTTTTTTTCCCAAGAAGTGAACAGCTGAGCTGCCTCTGACACAAAGCTCACTCCAGGTTTAAGTAGTCTCTTGAAATCCCTAATTCCCCTGTGGGTGGGATTGATTTCAGCTGATTTTAGACTGGTCAGGGATGGTTGTTCAGAACTATGCTCCCTCTGAGGGCAAGGGGATGTCCCCAACCAATTACACACTTACAGTAGCAGTTGAAATGCTATTCCAAATGGCAGCTTTCCCTCCCTTGCCTGTAAAGTGGGACAAAAGAGACTCCTTCAGATGTAGGCATGTCACGTCTTACATGTCTAACTATGAACTGTGCATCCTGAGCCAGCTGATGATCAATTTTTAACCTAAAAGCTCCAAGAAATATCTGGGAACATCAAGGGATATATGACTCCAAGGAAAAATGAGCCTGCTGCAGCCTCCTGCCTTTGCTTAATTTGACTGAGTGCCTTTAGGGACCCTGCTGTCTCTTGTAGAAATTTCATTCAACTCCAGCTGCTCACATTTCAGTCTTAAGTGACCACTTTGTCAGCTTTGAATCATTTCCTCCTGTGAGAGGCTCCAATGACTCAAAAAAATGAGACATTTGAGGGGAGTTTTGCTGGGGCTGGGTTTGCACGCCCTGTACGAAGGGAAAGAGGAGAGTATTTTGTGCCTAGTGGTGAAAACTCTGCAAGATGGAAACCTCTGTAAGACAGAGGGGGTGAGCACCCAGCACTGGAGACTGGGGTTTGAGCCAGGTAAGGGAGAAGG